CTTTTATTAGTTGGTCTCCCCTTTTAGACAAAATGTCCCTGTCCACTCATAAAAACTGGTCCTGTTTTGCCTCCCACTTCTGCTGGCAGTAAGTAAACTCCCAGGTAGAGGTGGTTTGGTATTCATTAGGCTTCTTTCCCTGGAACACAGGAGCTGCCTTTATGAATAAGGCTGTTTAATTATTTTATTTGCTAGATATCTTGCCTACGCTGTTGGCCACTGCCAATGTCTGAAAGGCTTTTTCTTGTTTAGAGAAGAGGCTTGTGATCTCCATGTCCGCCAAGAACTTTGGCTATGTCAAAACACTTAAATCTGTTTGCATGTAAATCATTAGGCTGGAAAGTCTTTGACCAAAAACAATAAAAGCACAAGTTTAAAAACCCAGATGGATTTACTGAGCATGCTGCATGTTTTTCAGCTGGGATATAAAGTGGGCATCCTCATAATAAGTAGTTATCAGAAAGAATACGACACACTTTCTTCTGAATAGTAGTTTAAAACCCCATATCCCTACCCATATCCCCCATACAGTGGATTTCACTTTGCTCTTCTAATTCCAGTTGGATACGTCTGGTTTCTGTGCAGCTTTGCTTTGTACCCTGGAGTTGCTGCCCTCTCCCATTTCCTTCAGCTAAAGTTCGTTAGCCTTGGTCCAGTTCTTCAGAAATATCAGTCCATCAGGACAGCAGAAACATCATTGCTTCAAGTCCAGGCAGTCTACAAACCTGTAGAGCAACCTGCTTGGGCCAGAGGTAAAGCACCCTCCAGGAAGAGTGGTCAGTGGTAGAAGAAGCCTCTCAAATGAGATCAGACCAGACTCAAACAACCTTTAGGGAAACACTGAAGAATCTTTTACTACACAGTTTTCTAAAATAACCAGACTAAAAACAACTCCAAGCAGAGCTCCCCAAAACAATGGAAAGGATTGAGTCTGCTAAGCCGAGATGATCTAAAATCCTAATTTACTAGTCAACATGGGTAGTAGGCACAACCTTAAAAACTGACCTTGTTTACTTGCCCATCTTATAATGATACTGCAGGACATAGTGTATAGGTGGTTATTTCATGGGTGAGCAAAGACATTAATAGTATTTTATTTGAATCAGAAATCCAAGCAAAACAGGTTACCTTATTTTATACTGAACAAAATGCTATTAAACAATGCAATGAGTCCATTTCATGCTGATCCATTTATAACAAGGACTTTATAAATTGCTTCCTCTCAGCCTCAACCTCCTATTGCTATTTTCTGGGATGGCATACCATACACAGAAGAACATTATACCTTGAGACAATTTTGCTATGCAGCTACAGTAATCTGTACTCTAATACGAGCAAACTTTGAGGGTATTTTGCTCAAGCAGCAGATGGGTGTTAGCTCCCTGGCATGTGGGCCTGTTTCAGCATTGCGAAGTGACTATAGAGACAGTACTCCTAGCAGTTGAAGGACCTCGGGATTCAATAGGCAAGAGAGAAATTGTGGAAGATTAGCATCTTACTTTTTAAGCATCCTCAGTGATGAAAGAGGAGGGACATATGAATACAGGGAGCTTCCATAGCTTAAGAACTACTCTGGTAGAGAGATTCATTTGCTTTCATGTGCCTACTTTCTCACTTCATTTGAAACAAAAATAAGAACACCCCTTTTATGCAATCCATTGTAGGTGGGCTTGCCTAACACTTAAAAATAAGAGCATAGGCATCTAGGTGCCATGGCTTCACAAAATGTAAAGAAAATTCAAACCATAAAAACGGAATCCTTATCTCTGAAATGTATGCTCTCCTTTCATATTACGAATCACCAAAAGCCTCCTTCATACCTCCTAGCCACTCTTTGCAGAAACTGCAAGCCTAGAGAACAGTCCTCCATCATTGCACTAGTATTAAATGATAGTGTTTGTTAAATGCTG